TGCAACACGCCATGAAGACCTTTGCCATCGACGAGATGAGTGTTTCGGGTTACATCTTCCATCGTCTTCTCGGCCATGAGGTTGCTTCCGCGCCCATGAAGATCCAGATTCCCCGCAAGTTCAGCGTTCCAGGTCTTCCTGAATTGAACGCCAGTCAAATCAACGCTGTCAAGAGTGTGCTTCAAAAGCCACTCAGCTTGATCCAAGGTCCTCCTGGTACTGGAAAGACTGTCACCTCAGCCACCATCATCTACCATCTCTGCAAGATCAGCGGTAGCCAGGTCCTGGTTTGCGCACCTTCCAACGTCGCTGTTGACCAGCTGTGCGAACGTATTCATCTTACTGGGCTGAAGACTGTCCGTGTCACCGCTAAGTCTAGGGAGGATGTCGAATCTCCTGTCGGCTTCCTCTCCCTTCACGAGCAAGTCCGCATGAACGACACCAACGTTGAGCTCAACAAGTTGAACCAGTTGAAGAGCGATGTTGGTGAACTCTCAAGTCAAGATGAGAAGAAGTTCAAGCAGCTTACCCGTGCAGCTGAACGCGAGATTCTGAACGCAGCTGATGTCATCTGCTGCACTTGTGTTGGTGCCGGTGATCCGCGCCTCTCCAAGATGAAGTTCCGCACTGTCCTTATCGACGAATCGACACAGTCAGCCGAGCCAGAGTGCATGATTCCCCTGGTCCTTGGGTGCAAGCAGGTCGTACTTGTCGGTGATCACCAGCAACTTGGACCTGTCATCATGAACAAGAAGGCCGCAACAGCTGGTCTCAACCAGTCTCTCTTCGAGCGTCTCGTCATTCTGGGATGCTCTCCTATCCGCCTTCAGGTTCAGTACCGTATGCATCCTTGTCTGTCCGAGTTCCCTTCGAACATGTTCTACGAGGGTTCTCTTCAGAACGGTGTCACCATGCAGGAGCGCATCCGTCGCGATGTCGACTTCCCCTGGCCCGTCGTCGACAGCCCCATGATGTTCTGGTCCAACCTTGGTGCCGAAGAAATCTCAGCCTCTGGAACATCCTACCTCAACCGTACCGAGGCTCAGAACGTCGAAAAGATTGTCACCCGCTTCTTCAAGGCCGGTGTACAGCCTGGCGACATTGGTATCATCACTCCATACGAAGGTCAGCGTAGTTATGTTGTCAGCTCCATGCAGGCAACAGGCAGCTTTAAGAAGGAAAACTACAAGGAAGTTGAAGTTGCCTCCGTCGACGCATTCCAGGGTCGTGAGAAGGACTTCATCATCTTATCTTGTGTCCGTTCCAACGACCACCAGGGTATTGGTTTCTTGAGCGATCCTCGTCGTCTTAACGTCGCCTTGACCCGAGCCAAGTACGGTCTCGTCATCTTGGGTAACCCCAAGGTCTTGTCCAAGCATCCGCTATGGCACTACCTCCTTCTCCACTTCAAGGAGCGCAACTGTCTTGTTGAGGGTCCTTTGACCAACTTGCAGGTTTCCCTTCTGCAATTCAGCCGCCCAAAGCAGACCTACCGTGGACCTCAGCGCTACCAGATGGCCTACCAGCACGCTAATGCTATGACATCTGGTCGCCAGGCTGGCTTCAACGGGAACAAGCCTCGCCAGGAGTACAACGACAACGGCTCGATCGTCGGCTACATCCCAGATGATGTCTCTTCAGTCCACTCTTCTGCCCTTGGTGGTGTTGGTGTTCCCTCCAACTACCCTCCCATGTTCTCCAACTTCCAGGAGTCATGGCCTCTTCCTGGTCGTCCCAACGGCAAGGGCAAGAATGGAGCACCTGCAAGTGTTGCTGGTGAGTCGGTTGCCGCTAGCGAGCTTACCGATACTCGCAGCGATGCACCAGGCGGTATCAGCCTATCTGGCCTGAGCTTGAATGACTACAACAAGCCGACTTCTCTCAGCCAGTCTGACCGTCTCAACCGTTACGTAGAGACCACCCGTCAGGGTCCCAACGTTGGTACTGGGTTCGGTGCTGGTCGCGGTCTGCGTAATGGACTTGGTGGCTTTGAGGATGACGATGCTCGTAGCGTTTCCACGGCTTTCGCCAGCCAGATAGGCACTGGCAACAACGGATACGACTGATCTCTTGTCTTCTGATACCGTAGGGATCATTCCTACTGGTTACGTACCACGTTTTGGCTGCGAGCCTCTCTTCCACCCAACGGGGCAAGATGCTTCACAGGGGGTCGTCCAACCCACAGTGCGCTCCGTCGGCATGACCAGAGAAGGCGACTGCCAGTGCGTTAGCACAGATATCGATATTGGATCCAGTCCGTACTGCAGCTCAACTTGGCACCATCCTTCAGGCGCCACACTGCATGCGTCCGTGTCAACATGCGGTCGCACGCCGAAGTGTGTGGCAACGTGGCATCGCACTTCAACATCGGACCTGCGTAGGTGTGAAGAAGATACAAAGCAGGATGGGGACATCAGCTGCAGTGGGAATGATGTATAGGCTATCTACAGGAGATAGCATTCGATTCTACACACTCCTTGTTGCCCAACAGGCTTATCACAGTTGAGAAAGAAAAGGGAGAAAACCATACTACAATCGTTGCTAGAGAAATATAACACTTTTGCTTTACTATGATCGCATGTCTGGACCTGGTCCTGTTCCACAACCCGTACGTCAAGATCTGTTGTCACACATGTACTAATGATGATGATGATCATCATCACTACTCCTCGTCAAAATCTTCCTCCGCGTCCCGCACTTCGCTCAACGCCGCCCATACTTGGGGTAATCGGGGTTTTTGTTGGCTGTAAAGCTCAACACAACTCCCAGTACCCATGAATTTGTCGAAAAACATTTTCGTTGGAAAAGCTCTCGAGTGAGTGATAGTGATGAGAAGGCCAGATTCCCAGTCTTTATGTAGACTTTAATTGGCGCTAAGGGTATCGCGCGAGTGTTGGCACTGCTACTCATGGCCGACTGCTGGAGTGATTTTGGAAAAGAGATGGTATTGCGATGGATTAGGGCAAGGAGCTCTCGAGCCATGCTAGAGTTGGATGCGCTTTTTGGTACAACCAGAGAGAGAAACGAAGAGCACATTAACTGTATGTCCCGTAGTTTTGGTAAAATGTGAGGGGGGACAGTGTGTGTGTGTGGAAGAAGAAGGAATGTCGTGACGTGGACATTTTATATGGCGATCCACCTCAAAACCGATCACATCAAAGGGTACGAGTGGATTTTTTGACACATTTCAAAAAGAGCGGAAAGCCTTCAATTGGAGGAGACAAACCGGACAAGCCATGACTTCGTCCACTAGGGCTTTCGGTAGCGGTTTTGATGCTCTGACCAAAAGAAAGAACGCAGGAGACATGGGAAACGAAGAAGCACTTTTAAAGCTATGATGCCCTGTTTGAGGAAGTCACTACACACGGAGCATGCAACGGAATAATGCGGCTTTCGAAGTAGCCTGCAATCCGAGACAGAGACATGCATTGTCTATTAACTCTATCGTGAAAGTTTTCTTGCACGGTCACGACGTTTTAGTGACAGAGACGGACGCGGTTGCCCCAAATCTCCATACGTAGGTGATCGCAGGCATTTTCGTTTCGTTGGGTGTCCTAGAAAGGAATTTGCAACATGGACTTCTTCGCCCTCTTTTTAGAATCGAGGAACCAAAGGTATGCTTTAGTTGATAAGCAAGAGAGCAGCAGGAAGAGCGCAGGTATTTATATGCTCTTGGAGGCGAGAAAGACATCACGGCGGTGAATCCGTATTTGTTGTAGTCACAGAGACATATGCTGTGTTCTTGCTGATGTTTCGGTCGATCTCGGACGCCAGGGCAGACATGGAATGTAGGGGGTGTCTTTTGTATAGATGAAGCGTCGGGAAGGACGCAGTTGCCACATGAGTGCTAAACGTATGTGTTTTGGAAACATTAATGGTGGGTGTAAGATGAGGAAAGAGGAATGGTGCTTTGAGGTGCTTTTATCGTGCAAAGCAGTGGAGAAGAACACATGAAAATCTCCTCCCTCAGTTTTAAGCTCGGTCACTTCTATTGACTACGACTCATGTACTCCAAAAGAGCTTTCATGTAGACCTCATCCATGATACTTGGTAGGTAAGCACTTTCCTAATCGGGTAACTTTTCGAAAGGTGTCGATCGCAGGCGTCTGCACAGTTACCACCGCGCCCCCAGCCCACTAATCGTAACAGTAGACCAGCTCGCCACACATATGTTCTGAGCCTCTAATTTTCAGTTTTCCTCCCAAGAGCAATGACGGTACATCACAGAATCTAGGTAAGACGTGAAGGTAAATATAGAGGCTGGCGTTGATTTGGGCGACTGATTTTCGCGCAGACGTGGTGGTCTTTGGTGGACACATGATATTGAAGGTATGCGCTTTTGCTTGCCAGTGCACCCGCTTCATGAGGGCTCCTCATCTTGCTTTCTACTCAGAGAACGCCCACAACACAGTCCTTAGTATTGATGTCTTGGGAATTTTGGCGATTTGACATTGACGTCCTGGAAGGAATTGAAGGGGCTTCTTTCTCGTTGCATGAGAAAGCGTGAAAAGAGTTTTGGAGAGACCAACGCAACAACAAGTCCATCGAGTGTTTTGTTTTCTTTTTGGTAATACAAGAACAAAAGTGTTGTGGAGGAAGAAAGAGGAAACTGAGCGGGAAGTCGCACATCTTTTATAGTGAGCGAGATGCAGCCAAAGACACATAACCACTTTTGCGGAACCCTTTCTAGAATAAGAGGGTAGCGAAGTGCTGAAGGTCTTGCTTCCATGAGCAGTGGTTTACGTTGTTTCGTAACAGCATTGCTATCCAGAACGCGGATTTTTGGACTCAGTAGAAAGCACGCTCTTGCTCAGTGCAGGACCGAGGAAAAACTCATGGAAGAGTCTGGGCGCGACTTTTTGAAATAACCGAAGTCATAGATAGGAATGTGTTCTGTTTTGATAAGACAGAGAGTCCCGAGGTCGCCAGTCTGATCATGCATATGTAGGTATCATGTTTTGGTGTTCTCTCGCGCGAGCGGAGGGTGCTTACACTCATGGTCAGGTAGAGTAAATATTTTTGATAATAAACTTTTGAAAAGGTGTCGGGGTTGTAGAAGAAGGAATAAAGGTGTAGAAGACATCCTTTATACACCATCTAGCTCCTCGGATCACGATCAGTTTGAAGAGTTCCTCCGCTTTGACAATCATGGCAGGGTCTTCATTTGATCCTCCACTCGCTTTGAGTCGATTCTTGACACCAGTGGTAATGTTTTGTAACAGCTTGTCCCATTGCTCATTAGATCCGGGTCCGTAGTACGTCCGATAGATGGTAAATCCCCAAGGCTGGAGGTAATCGTTAAGCTTTAACTGCTCTATGCTTTCGCCCTCGGGTACTTTGCGCAGGCTGTCGACGAACTTGGTGATCCTGGGTTGGCTGAACATGGTGACGTTGACAAATGTGTCGTGAGGCGGGTTAGGTGGCCAGGCCGATTTTGCGCGGATTGCCGAGATATTTGCAAGAGGATAAGGATAGCGTGATGAGCGCCTGCAGAAAGTCCAGGCAGTCGCGAAGCGAAGGATTGCGGCATGGTACGAATGGGCGGCCTCGGTGGCTTCCTCGATTCTTCCATCGCTTCCGCGAGGTCTCACACTCTGAAACGGAATCCGTGGCCATTGCAGAAGTACATAATACTATTAGTACTGAATCATAGGAGAAGAAATAAAGGTATAGAAGACACTATTTATATATTATCCAGCTCCCTAGGCTACGACCAAGCATAAACGACTAGTAGTCTAGTTTGCGCAGACGAGTGCATCAGAAAGGAAGAAGGACAGCGAGAACATCGAATCAATCTCTGTACTTTTGGATCTCGCATGTATAACAATGTCATGAAAAGGTCTGTCCGCTGGCTCTCGGCTCATGAAAATCGAGAATTCGGTTTTTGAGAGTCTTCGAACGTAGATATGTAGCTGAAATTGAGGTAACACATAAGCATCATGTCCTCATTTTTTTTTGGTAACGGCTTCTTTGCCAGAGACATGACATTTCGAACAGTGGCTTTCGGTGCAGTGATCAAGGAACCAAAGGGACGAGCCCACATAGTTCTTTCCCTTGTGTCTTTTTGGTAAAATGTTTTTTGGTGGAAAGGTATGAAGGAAGGAAAGAGGAGGTCGATTGGCGATGTTTTATACCTGCATCCGAGACCCGCTAGCGACGTCTGGAGAACAGAAAGTGTCGCCCATGCGCTTGCAAGTGTGTGTTTTGGAAAAGTAGAGTGCGGTCAGCGGCTGCAGCGCGGTGCGGGTACATGTCGATATCATGGCTTTCGGAATGTCCTCTTTGTATGGTGCTGGCGCTCGGTACGCCCTTTCCGACGATGCGACGAGGGCGCAAGAAGTTCACTCGGTGCATTCTCCAGCCCTGGCTATTGAGCAGGGTGTTAACTAACACCACCATGGTATCCGCCGGCCCAAATCACGTATAGCCGCTCCATTCATAGTGCGATCAATTCCATTCAATGCAAGTGGTATCAATACTCCATCATATATCCCTCCTCCCCAGCATCAAGCCTCCCCCTTCTTGTACGTACCGCGCCATCATCACGCCCACACCCGTTTATTTACCAGCCAACTCCTTCTCGATATCCGCCTTGAGATCCTCAGGCTTCTTCGTGCTCGCCCACCTGCCCTTAACCTTTCCATCCTTGCCAACAAGGAACTTTTCAAAGTTCCACTTGACACGCTTGAGGCCCATAAGGCCCGGCTTCTCGTTCTTGAGCCATTCGAAGGCGGGGTCTGCGGATGCGCCGTTGACCTATTCGCAACAAAAAGAAAGTAATTAGCATGTGTTCATTGTATCGCATAAGCCATGGGTTCGTTTCGTTTCGGTTGCTTACATCAATCTTGCCCAACACAGGGAAGCTAACACCGTAGTTCAACTGGCAAAACTCCTGAATCTCGTCGTTGGAGCCTGGGTCCTGGCCACCGAACTGATTGCACGGGAAGCCGATGATTTCAAAGTCGTTGGGGTGTTTGGCCTTGACGTCCTTGTAGAGCTTCTCGAGGCCCTCGAATTGGGGGGTGAAGCCGCATTTCGAGGCTGTGTTTACGACGAGGACGACTTTGCCGTTGAGCTTGGAGAGGTCGTAGGGGGTGCCCTTTTCTGCGTGGGGTTGTCAGTTGCTGTTGCGAAGAGAGATGGGCGAGAGGGAGAGGAAAGAGAGGTGTGACGTACTGTCCTTGGGCTTGAAGTCGAAGAAGCTCGTTGCGGAGGCCATGGTTGTGTAGTGTGCTTTCTTTCCTGGTACTTCTTTCTTTACGTAGACAGTCGTCTTCTCGAAAACAGGTATATAGGAGCGTGTAGAAGTCGTATAAGCGCAAGGTGCAAAAGTGGTGGTAAGGCTTCGGAGCTTTAAGTCGTGTCGCAAAACAGGTCTGAAGTTCGTCGCGATACGCGGGGCTGTGCGGCTTGTCGCCCCTCCCAATCGAATCATGGCATGTGATCGTAATCGTAATCCTAATAATCCTACGCAAACGCGGAACTCCGTTGACCGTGTTTTGCTTACTCGAAGATTCGGTCTAGCCAGGTACGATTGTTTGACTGGCGGTTTGGGCTTACGCAATAAGACCCTGATGGAGACCCGATCTTTGGCTCTGGCCATCGGGCCTGACAGGTCAGACACAACCTCGGCTTGTCCCACCCACTGCGTACTACGGACGAAAATGCACCTGGCGGTGGGGCGCCGTTGACGACTTCGGTGATTGCTTGCTACATTTGGGACTTCACGCGATGGGCTTCTTTAGATGAATAGAAGGTATTTGGAAGCATGAGGGGCTGCCGAAGTATGCCGGAGTTGGTGAGGGCGCCCACGACGTAGCAGCTCAGGCACACTCTTATTGCCATCAACGACACCAAAGGTCACACACACATGCACATGAAGAGTGATTTTGATAAAACAACAACAGTATAAATAGCAAAACTACGTACAAAAACAAGAACAATCTCTCCTCCAGCCACCAACGTCCGCGCGGCGGGTAATGATGGCTATACAAGACCGACCTCTTCTCCATGGTCATCATTCCGAGTACTGACAACTAGCAAAAGAAATACAACTGTACTAATTACACTCCTCCGTTAACATTAGATCAATCTGATACATCAACCAACTCATGCCATGCATAGTGCAATGAGTAGACCTCAGTCCTTCTCCCCCTCAGCGGGGTTGCTATCGCTCTAAGAGCTGACTAGCTATCCTTTGGCATCCGAGTCCACGGCTGGGACATGTCCTTGGCTCTGTATCCTGGGTTTTCTCCGGAGATTTGTGGCCATCCAGGGCAAGTGGCATCCATCCGAGACTTGTGGGAAGTCATGGTCCTTCATCCGCGAGGCATGCGGGAATCCATCCGGCTTTCGGAGAACGCAGAAAATCAAACGCGATGTGTATGCATTGAAAAAACAAGGGTAGGGGTCCGGCTTTGTGATGACAAACCTGCTGGCGGTTGTCTCTGCAGACGGAGTCTACCAGACGTGTGCTTCATTCAGCCGCCGAAGACATCTCGGTACTGAGTGCAGATGTCGTGGAGGCCAACGACCTCCTTCGTCAACTGGATGTCGTCGCCGAGCTCGTTGGGGGCACTGAGATTGGTCAGAACATCAATGATGTGCTGCTTCTTGCTCAAGAACTCCTTGGTGAGAGCCTCTCGTCGCTGCTGGCGTTGTTGCTCGGCAGTGAGCTTGACAACCTTGACGCGCTTCTCACCAGTCTCCTCAGCCGACGCCTTGCGCTTGCGAGACGCCGACTTGCGAGGAGCCTGTCCTTGGACAGGCGGGGATGGCTCAGTAGTGGGCCCGTCGTATTGGTGCACTCTCTTCATGTGGTCGAAGAGGTTGTAGCGACGAGGGAAGCCGTGACCTGGCACAGCGCGCTCACAGTCGCGGAAGTGGCAAAGGTGCGGCCTCGCGCCGTGACCGTGCATACCGTGCGCCTCACGTTCGTGACGGAGGAGGCATGCAGTAGAGGAGAACTGCACACCGACGCAGGTCTTCTTGTTGCACCGGAAAGGCTTGAGGTGAGAGTCAACGTACTTGCTGTTGTAGGTGTCAGTGCATGTTGGGTTGTGTAAGAATGATACATACTCGTAGTTGCACTTCAAAGCGGTGGGCTTGTGGGTGCATCCGGCCTTGCCCTCCTCAGGGCAGTGGTACTTTCCATCCTTGTCTGGTGTCTGCTGGTAGAGAGGGTGGCTGCGGGCGACCTTGGTGCGCTCTTCTTCGAGCTTGGTCTCAGCTGCCTCAGACTGGGAGAGGCTGTCTTCGTTGTCTTCCACTGAGTGGGCGACAGATGCGGGCTTGGTGTCCTCGAGAACATTGACTGTCTGAGGGAAGTGAACACTGGCGGTGCTGGTCGGGGTGCCGACGAACGCGCCGAAGCCAGCATCTTGTGCTGAAGCTCGCCGTGACTCCTCTTGGAGAGAGTATGACGATGAGTTGCGTAGGGTGGCGGGACGCTCTGAGGCGTCGTAGGAGGCGCTGTGCCATCGCTGAGGCGAGTTGAACATGGTGTCGTTTGTCGGCCATGATGTGAAGGTGAAAGGGTTGTTCTGGAAGGTGGTCTCGGATGTAGCCCACTGTGGAGAGTCGGCGATGGTGGAAGGTGCGAAGCGAGGCATGTTCGCTGGCGAGTAGTGTGTGTAGTCCTGAGCTGTAGAGTAATTAGCATATGTGAGGGGTCCCTCTGTGGCATTCCATGATCCAGATGTGGCTGGTTGCATGTGGCTCATGTCCAGGGTCTCCGGGAATGTGCTGTAGTTCTCCGAGCTCATTGTCGGCGAGTAGATGTCGCTGCCAACAAACTGGCTGCTGATCCGGCTATCCTGGTGGTGTAGCTCCGGCTTCTGGGCTCCGCGCCGGCTGGCGCCGCTCTGGCTCTGGTATGCGCTGTCCATGCTGCACTCCGAAGCAGTATCCTTGATTTCAAAGAATTCTGCTGTGTGCATGTCCTGGAAGTCTGAAGAGAAAGGAAAGTCCGGTGCGGAAACGACCGGGGCTGGGATTTCCTTCCTCCACTCAGTGATGTTTGAGATGTAGAAAGCACTCTCCGGTGGTGAGTCGAAGAAAGAGTCGCTGGACACCAAAGTTAGTATCCAAACGCGCAAACCTAACATGTTCGTGAAGATGTACAAAGGAAAACGCCATGTTAGTATATCCGAGGATGCCTATAGAGGAGTCAGTCAGAGCAGCGCATAGGCGTCAGTGGTTAGCACGCACCTTAGGAAGCCAGTAAGATTGGGATTGTCTGCGAGGTAGCGACCTGGTTCCTGGGGAGGGAGGGACGGCATTGTGGGTAAGCTGAAACATCCACCAGTCCTTTGGCGAGAAGTTGGCGATCCAGTGTATAATCCAGTTAGATCCAGTAATGTCCAATGAGGCCAGGAAAGATGAA